AAAACTACAGTAAACTTAGAGAATTAAACATACTGAACATAAAGTTAATCTACAACAGCTACATCAAATGAAATGACAGTAAACTTAGAGAATTAAACATACTGAACATAAAGTTAATCTACAACAGCTACATCAAATAAAACTACAGTAAACTTAGAGAATTAAACATACTGAACATAATGTTAATCTATAACAGTTACATCAAATAAAACTACAGTAAACTTAGAGAATTAAACATACTGAACATAATGTTAATCTACAACAGCTACATCAAATAAAACTACAGTAAACTTAGAGAATTAAACATACTGAACATAATGTTAATCTATAACAGTTACATCAAATGAAACGACAGTAAACTTAGAGAATTAAACATACTGAACATAAAGTTAATCTACAACAGATAAAACTTTAAGAAAATGAGCTATGCTTTTCAATTCCTGTTTTGTTGAAAACTCTTATGTCAAATGCTTAACCACCAAATTATTGGAATCAAAACACCTTGTCAGTAATATTTCACCCACCACCAGATTATTGGAATCAAACCCATTGTCTCTAATATTTCACCCACCACCAGCTAATTGGAATCAAAATATTTCACTAATAGATTACCTTGACCAAAATCCTGTATCTGTAATATTTCAAGAACAGATTACCTAGACCAGAATCCCCTTTTCTCTACTCACTATACTTTGGTTAGTGAAACTGATAATCTCTGTTGTTTCTGTCCACAGTTTACCTTGACTGAAACTATTCATCTCTGTTGTTTCTCTTCACAGTTTACCTTGATTGAAACTATTCATCTCTGTTGTTTCTCTTCACAGTTTACCTTGATTGAAAATGTACATCTCTGATGTTTCTCTCCACAGTTTACGTTGATTGAAACTGTTCATCTCTGATGTTTCTGTCCACAGTTTACCTTGATTGAAACTGTTCATCTCTGTTGTTTCTCTTCACAGTTTACCTTGATTGAAACTGTTCGTGTCTGATGTTTCTATCCACAGTTTACCTTCATTTAAACTGTTCATCTCTGATGCTTCTATCCACAGTTTACTTTGATTGAAACTGTTCATCTCTGTTGCTTCTCTCCACAGATTTCTCTGATTGAAACTGTTCATCTCTGTTGCTTCTCTCCACAGATTACTCTGATTGAAACTGTTCATCTCTGTTGCTTCTTTCCACAGTTTACCTTGATTGAAACTGCTCATCTCTGTTGTTTCTTTCCACAGATTAATCTGATTGAAACTGCTCATCTCTGTTGTTTCTGTCCACAGTTTATCTTGATTGAAACTGTTCATGTCTGTTGTTTCTCTTCACAGTTTACCTTGATTGAAACTGTTTGTGTCTGATGTTTCTATCCACAGTTTACCTTGATTGAAACTGTTCATCTCTGTTGCTTCTTTCCACAGATTAATCTGATTGAAACTGCTCATCTCTGTTGTTTCTCTCCACAGTTTACCTTGATTGAAACTGTTCATGTCTGATATTTCTGTCCACAGTTTACCTTGATTGAAACTGTTAGTCTCTGATGTTTCTGTCCGCAGTTTACCTTGATTTAAACTGTTCGTCTCTGTTGTTTCTCTCCACAGTTTACCTTGATTGAAACCGTTGTGACAACAATTGTGGATACCTGTCCTCACCGATTAAGACGTAATAAACATTACATCCTGGGTCTGTGCTGTACCGTCATGTTTCTACTAGGATTACTGATTTGCACAGAGGTTTGTAACATTCAGAAAACCATAATTGATTACCAGTGGTTAATTAAATGTGTACATAAATATCTTAACTAATTGTAATTCTGCATACATATCAATATAGTAATGTTAAATGACTATTAAGTCTAAGTTTAAAAACTTAACATTTCATTGCTTTAAATTAACTTTTTATTTTATAATGCAATGACAAGTGATTCTTCATCTTCTCTTACTAGGGTGGTATGTATGTACTTCAGCTGCTAGACAACTATTGTGCAAGTTTTTCTGCTTTGATCATTGGAGTCATTGAAGTTCTTGTGATAGGCTGGTTATATGGTAAGCAAAATTACTGTAATATTAATGTGACCTTTATTTAAAGAAAGTTTCAAAATTATTGAGTTGTAAAGATACTTCTGGAAAGTAGTGTTTTATGGAGTAGTATAAATACGGTATACTGTGCAAAAGTGTGAAGACAAGAGAACATTTTGTCATTCGTTCCATTTTATGGGTATAATTCTTCCATGCCATTACAGAATGTAAATTTCAACTCTATGGTAATGTTTCACTGATCTCTGTTGACAACAAAATGAACCAGGATGAGAATACTTATCATTCTTTAGAGTTCCCATGTACTTGTACCAAGGGCATGTCACAAGGGTTCTGCTTGAATGAACATACTGACCATATTTAGGATCTACAATAACTATCATGGTACCCCATGCAGTGTCTTAACTATATAGAAAGAAGCTAGCAAGGTGCTAGCATATGGTACATCTATATGCTAGAAAAAGTCAATTTAATAGCACTCCACAAATAAACCTTAATATAAACAGTGTTTAACACTATGTATTAAGTTTTGTTGTCATGCAATGGCCCAAAAAGCGTAGAAAATTGTCAATAGAGCAGAGAATTCGCATAAAAGCTTTACGTGATGCTGGTTGGACTCTCCGACAAATTGCTGCAGACTTGAAATGCTCCCCAAACACTGTCAAGTACACCCTAAATTGTGAGACCGAGACATGTAAATTTGAAAATAGGAAAGTAAGAGGCAGAACACCTAAACATTATTGATACTGATGTTAAGTATCTTCGTTTACGCAGCCTTCGGGACAGAAGGAAGACTGCCACTGATCTCAAGTATGAGATAAACAACCATGTACCAAATGACAGAAAAGTGTTCAGATCTACAGTATAAAGAAAACTTAATGAGAATTGAATATTTCGTCATGTAGCAGTTAAAAAACTTTACTTAGATCTTCAAGTATTCTCAAGAGACTAAAATTAGCTAAAAAGTACAAAAACTTGACTGTTGATGATTGGAAAAGGGTGTTATGGACGGATGAGTCCAAGTTTGAAATATTTGGTTCAAAGCATAGGTTGTACATCCTGTAAAAGAAAGATGAAAGATAATTTCCTCAATACATAGCACCTACCATGAAGCATGGAGGAGGCAGTGTGATGGTTTGGGGTGTTTTCTGCTGAGGTGACAGGAGATATTTACAAAATACATGGAATAATGGACCAGTAGTTTGTGTATTATTGGTAAAGGATTCTACTACCAAGAAGATAATAACCCCAAACACTCATCCAACCTATGCAGAAATTACTTAGCTAAGAAAGAAGCTGTTGGAATCATTGAAATAATGTAATGGCCCCCACAGAGCCCCGATCTCAACCCAATCTAGCAGATCTGGGATTTGATAGATCAAAAACTTGATAAATCAAAAGTTACATCCAAAGAAACTTTATGGGAGTGTATCAGAGACATTTGGAGTAAAATTTCAAAGGACACTTTGATTAAATATGTTGCAACAATGCCTGAAAGACTGTCTGCAGTTATTAAAGCATTGTTCTTTGAAAGTAGCCTGAAATCTAATATTTGGCATTGTCCTAACACTTTTGTACAGTACTGTATGTAAAGAAAACATGTGGAGTATTAGATACATCTAGAAAACAAGTTTTATGGAGTAGTAAAGACAAAATATAGTTTTATGTAAATTAAATAAGTTTCTTCCAATAGGTATCGAACGTTTCCTTGACGATGTCAAAGTGATGCTGGGCTGGTACCCATTCCATTACCAGTATTGGAGAATTATGTGGAAGTTCCTCACACCTTTCTCCATTGTTGTAAGTGTAAATGATAGAATGTAAGACGTTCAATGATTAATTATAGTAACAATAAATGACTGTTTCACTTCAGTCAACACAGTAGCTTCTTAGAAGTAACAACAACACAGCAGCTTCTGTATCAAGCAAGATCTCTTCCATGACAGATCAAGCTCTTATCCTAATGTTAGTATTTATCAATAGCACATTAAAGGTTAGTGTTTTAGTTTGACTAATAGGATCCAACACGTTAAAGGTTAGTATTTTTAGTTAGACTGACAGGATACAAGACATTAAAGGTTAGTGTTTTACTCAGACTGACAGGATATAAGACATTAAAGGTTAGTGTTTTACTTAGACTGACAGGATACAAGACATTAAAGGTTAGTGTTTTACTTAGACTGACAGGATATAAGACATTAAAGGTTAGTGTTTTAGTTTGACTAATAGGATCCAACACATTAAAGGTTAGTATTTTTAGTTAGACTGATAGGATACAAGACATTAAAGGTTAGTGTTTTACTTAGACTGACAGGATATAAGACATTAAAGGTTAGTGTTTTAGTTTGACTAATAGGATCCAACACGTTAAAGGTTAGTATTTTTAGTTAGACTGACAGGATACAAGACATTAAAGGTTAGTGTTTTACTCAGACTGACAGGATATAAGACATTAAAGGTTAGTATTTTTAATTAGACTGACAGGATACAAGACATTAAAGGTTAGTGTTTTACTTAGACTGACAGGATATAAGACATTAAAGGTTAGTATTTTTAGTTAGACTGACAGGATACAAGACATTAAAGGTTAGTGTTTTACTTAGACTGACAGGATACAACACATTTAAGGTTAGTGTTTTAGTTAGACTAATAGGATCCAACACATTAAAGGTTAGTGTTTTACTTAGACTGACAGGATACAAGACATTATAGGTTAGTGTTTTACTTAGACTGACAGGATATGAGACATTAAAGGTTAGTGTTTTACTTAGACTGACAGGATATAAGACATTAAAGGTTAGTGTTTTAGTTAAGACTGACAGGATATAACACATTAAATGTTAGTGTTTTAGTTAGACTTACAGGATACAAGACATTAAAAGGTTATTGTTTTATTTAGAATAACAGGATACAAGACATTACAGGTTAATATCTTAATTAGAATAACAGGATACAACACATTAAAGGTTAATATCTTAATTAGAATTATATCCTCTCTGTTGTTGCTTAGGGAAAAACATTTAAAATATGTGTGTATAGAATTAACCTTAAATTGTTTCATTTTTGTCATGTTGTAAATTAGATGCTTTTATTTTTTGAAATCTGATTTATCACTTTTTTAATTCACTGTGTCCAGTGTTTGTCATAAATATTTTTCCTAGTGATAAGTATTTACTTCCCTATATTTTTAATTCCCTAACATAAATCCATTTTTATACACTTCAAACTTGTTAAGTTGGTATTTCTAATGCTTTCTTTTTGATTCATATCCTAGTTTTGATAGAATTAATCATCTGATATTTATTTCCTTAGGAAATATTTCTTAAGATACACGTTGTGACTTATTTCATAGCAGTGTTTCACAATGTGTTAAAATATGCCCTGAAGATGTATGTATTTTTTAATGTTAGGTGGTGTAACTTCTGTGTTTGATTTTTTAAAGGCTGTCCTGGTATTTTCATGGGTCGATATTCACCCGACCAATTACGGTAGCTACGTATATCCAGACTGGGCAACAGCTGTTGGTTGGGCTTTATCTATGTTTTCAGTGTCAGCGATTCCTCTAGTAGCTTGTATCAAAATCTGCAAAGCTGATGGACCCATTCGAAAAGTATGTCTAAGCAGTATTGTTTTTTAATTTGTCATATAATAGTTCTTATTTTATTCACCAGGGTGCAGCATAAAATAAAGTTTTTATTGCAAACTTTATCTTATTTAATTAATCAAGATTAATATCAGAATCTTATTTTCCTTGTATTTCAATAGTTTTAAAGCTGGTTTGTAGATTTGCAAGAGTTATTTCTCATTTGACTTAAAATTCTCAGTTGCGTTTACTGGACTCTTTCCAACTGTCCTCACAAATAGTTTACTAAACTTTTGAAAGGGAGTGCTTCTGTTACTATATGATTTAAATAGACTACAAGCCAAGATGAGACATGTTTTTCTTTATTTTAACCACGTGTAGATCATACCATAACTGCTATATTCCTGTCTTAATAAGAAACTTGTGGTTGCCAGTATGTAAAGAATACTAATATGTATGTAATTAATTACTGAGATGTATTAGTAAATGTAATTTAAAAATTAGTTACTCAATTGAATCTTTTACACAGCGAATCAAGACACTACTGCAGCCCACAGAGGACTGGGGACCCAAGTTACAGATGCATCGCATGGAGACCAGAAGTCCCAAACATACGGACTCCCAAGTTCCACTGGCACTTCCGAATTATGACCCTGACTGTTATGATGACAACGATTTTCCAGATGACCAAGGTGATGGTCAGCAAGAAGACACATCAGATTCAGAAGGTCTAAAGCTCAAAATTCCCAGCTACCCTAATCACGAAACTGGACTTTGATCGAAACTGCTATGGAAGTATAAAATTAACTAGTGGCATGTGTCCCTCTTTTAAGCTTAAAAGGAGAGCCATACAATGATGATAACATTCAGCAACTGGTGGGTAAACACAACAATAAAGGGGTGTTTGGGGGATAAAATGTCATTTCTGGTCAGAGAATCAAGGTAACTGGGCTTAGCTATTACTGTGAGGCTATGAATTAACCTCTTAATTTCTCTTTGTCAACTAGCCCAGTTCCCTGTAATTTTAAAACTTACCTGACTTTGCTATAGAATATTAACAGAAAATGTCACTAAGTCAGAGTTGATGCCTTGGTCAGCAAATAACTGACTTCATTACAGATCAGTACCACACTTATTTTAAAAGATACAGTATGCTGTTATGATTGATGCAACTACTAAAGGTAATGTGTAAATATACCATCTACATACATTATAATCTGTAAATATTCTAAAGTGCCAATGCTAGTGATTAGTGTTAGGGAAACTGCCTGCTGAATTATTATATCATTTTATAACTCAAACATAAAACCATTAACATTTTCCTATGGTAGTAAGGTGGTCTTATTTTTACACCCTTGATAATCTTTAACAAAAACTACATAAATTCTATTCTTCATTTATCTTGAGCTGATCTGTTTTAAGTTGAATTAACCTGTCTCACTGCTTTAGAATAAAATACTGTACAAGTTTCGTTGTCCGATTGTTCTTCAGCCGATACATACTAATTTAGCCATTTTATGTTACATCTGATGTGAGCAGTAAAAGAGGGATACTGAACTGAAATGTCACTCTTTGGTTAAAGTAAGAAATGAAGAAAATGAGGTAAAGTTAACTATATTTCTAGATCAATAGGAAGAGAAGTTTAAAACACTTCCTGTGAAAACTATTCTTTAAACAAAAGCTGTTTCTTGTGTAATTTAGGACAACTTCTAAATGCAAGTTTAATGAGCAGATGGACAGTCTGTTATTTTATATCTGTGGTGTTGTAACAAGATAATATTTATGTGTTGTGTTAAAAAAAGCTGTGGTTTAGTGCTGCACATAACACTTGTATTGCAATTTTTTTTGAACATCAAATGTAAATAAACCAAGTTATTTAGTTTTACAGGGTTTTATCTAATAATGTAAATATAAATCTAATGCATGTTAAGAAAAATGATTTTTTTCTAGCTTGTATAAATGGGTTTTTTTTTCTGAAGTTTTGTAAACATTGTTACAGAAGTTACACAGTTTGTCACGTTGTTATTTATACAAATACGTGACAAAACCCCACAATTAGAACCTGATAAGTTTGTACAGGTAGTATGAATAGAGACATGTTAAGTTCCTAGATTACAGCATATTATATCTATGTATTATGTAGTTTGAAAGCTTACATTTACTTATCAACAACAGTGTATATAAACTAGAAAAGAAGATATCTTACTGCTATTCACTTATCCTTGCCTTAGTAAGTCTTTGGTGCCACGTACTTGTGTGTAGTAAAGTACTTTTTTACCCTCTAAAAGTCCATTATTTTAACCTATTTAGAAAATTTTCTTAAAACATATGGTGATATTTGTTATAAAACATTTCTTCTGTCACACCAACACTTAAACTTTAGAGAACAGAATAGTGTTGTATCAAAGTAAAGGTGTAAACGTACAGTTGACTGTTTACAATCCAAATCTCGATTAGAATCGACTAGTTTAGTTTCATTAGTGGTGGTTTTTCTATAAGAGGGAAGTGATTAACATAATCAACCAATTACCCAACCAGTTTTGGATAATTACTTTGTTTCTTAGCATAATATTGGCAAATAGCTATGTCATAAGTATTCACTATCATCGTTTCTAAATGTGGACCACTTACATGCTCTTGACCATAAGACCAAAGATGATTACCAGCAAGGAACATTTGTTAATCAATAGTAAAGTTTTATTTGAAAGAATTACATTAAAAGAAAGGGGGGTAATATAGCAGCTCATGCAAACAGTTTCATTAGAGTTGAAATTGACAAGTGTGAAAAACGTGTTGTTTTTATACGTATATTATTTTGGAGGCCACTGTACATCTTACAAATAGGAATTAGCATACATAGAACTGACTGAACAGTAAGAAATAAAGTGTGGATATTACTGAATGTTGTTGATTTTCTTATATTAAAAGTCAAAATGTGAACAAATCATTTCCAAGATGTGTTTTTTTGCTTTAAACAGTTTACACCTTCTCCTTCACTCATAACTATATATGTATTAACATTCAGGAAAGACTAATAATATGCCAAAATTCTACCTTTGCCAGATTGAGTCATAGAAAAGTAGTAATTTGTAAATGTATTTAAGTTGGCCTTTTTTTGCTCTAGTGTTTATCACAATACTTCTGTTGTGTAGTTTATCGTCCTTTAAGTTCTGTATAATCAAGTGAAATAAAACCTTTTAGGAAATTGAATGAGAGTTAGCAAGTATTTTTATTTTAAAACACATGCACAATAAAAAATTTAGTCTATCACAAATGGTACTTGCATTACCAACGCTTATGGCCTATACTGAGGATTACCATCAGATCTCATCTTAAACACTGCTTACGAATAATAACAATGTGACAGTAAAGGTCAACTAGGGACCATTCGTAAATACTAAAACAGTCAAAGTCAGCCCTTATCACTCAAATATTTATCAAGCTTTTCCTTAAACTCCTTTAGATTAACTACATCTACCATACCTGGAGGCATCCCATTCGAAAAGCCAACCACCCTGTTAGAAAAATAAAACTGTCTTAGCTGAAGATGACTTCTAACCTGCCAAATTTATATTTGTGTCCCTTAGTCCCGACATTTTCACAATTTATATTTGTGTCCCTTAGTCCCAACATTTTCACAATTTATATTTGTGTCCCTTAATCCTACCATTTTCACAATTTATATTTGTGTCCCTTAATCCTAGCATTTTCATAATTTATATTTGTGTCCTTTAGTCCCTTAATTTTGGAGAAGTTTTTGTTTAGTTTATTTAACTATAAAGATGCAATTCATATATGAGTATCAAAGTATAACTCTTATCGTTAAAACTCCTAACATTTAAGCCTTGATTTGTCATGAATAGTCCAGCTATCTCCAATTTTACTTTACTTCTGAAGAAAAGACAAACAGTAAAAGGGTTTCAAAAAATGTGATTTTCAATCAAAATTTCTAAACCTAGAAGATCATTTCTGCTTCTTTCCAAATTTAGTCCACCTTTCAATTAAAATTCCCAAACCTAGATGGTTATTATGACTTCTTTCCAAATGTAGTCCATCTTTAAGTTTGTTTTTATTCTGGATAAGAGAAAATTGTTTTTAAAATCTATTAAATATTTAAAGCTTTTTAATATTGAAAACACACAACAGTAAGTATTCAGTAAAACACGTCAAATTCCCAAATACAGCTGAATTACTACACATAAACAGCTACAAGCTTCTATCAAAATATTTGTCCTCTTTACACTTCTAAGTATAAACAATAGTTATTGAAGGTTTTAAATTACATGTTGTATTATGTAGAACACAACAAAACCATACTATAGATTAGTTCTTGTGTTATTTGTTCAAGAAATAGTTCTAACTAGTTAAATAACAGTGCTAAATCCACTTCTGATTAAAGTAGAAAGGAAAAACTACATGATACACTGTGAAGATTTTATTTGATTTGTCCAACAATAATCACAACAAAGGGAAATGCAAACCTAAGTTAGTGACGACAAAAATTCCACAAACAGAAACTAAAAACTGTGTTGAGTTTTACTGCCAATATCCGTACAAGAAAAATATAGGAAGCTATCGTAACTGTATATAAAAAAACGACTATTTAGGAGTTTTCTTCTAATGTCCATACCTGAAAAAAAAAAAACGGGGAAATGGTTAGACAGAGAATTATGTAAAAAACAAACACAAAAGAACAAATCTCTAACACTGGTAACTCATTGTCTAGGATACTGTAACAAAAAAATAACATGATTGTGTTTTACAGTTGCTGTTTGAGAGAGACAGTTGTGAGTTTACCTGTACATCAAGGATATGAGAGAAACTACATATAACTCCATCGTTTTGTACCTATACATCCAGGATGAGAGAGAGAGAGAAACTACCTGTAATTCGATAGTTTTATACCTATATATCCAGGATGAGAGAGATACTACCTGTAATTCCATAGTTTTAAACCTATATATCCAGGATGAGAGAGAGAGAAACTACCTGTAATTCCATAGTCTTGTATCTGTACATCCAGGATGTGAGAGATACTACTTATAAATCCATAGTTTTGTATATGTACGTCCAGAATGTGAGAGATACTACTTATAAATCCATAGTTTTGTATATGTACGTCCAGAATGTGAGAGATACTACTTATAAATCCATAGTTTTGTATATGTACGTCCAGATGTGAGAGACACTAACTATAAATCCACAGTATTGTATCTGTACATCCAAGATGTGAGAGACACTAACTATAAATCCACAGTATTGTATCTGTACATCCAAGATGTGAGAGACACTAACTATAAATCCACAGTTTTGTACCTGTACATCCAGGATGTGAGAGAGAGAAACTACCTGTAATTCCATAGTCTTGTACCTGTACATCCAGGATGTGAGAGAGAGAAACTACCTGTAATTCCATAGTCTTGTATCTGTACATCCAGGATGTGAGAGATACTACTTATAAATCCATAGTTTTGTATATGTACGTCCAGGATGTTAGAGATACTACCTATAAATCCACAGTTTTGTATCTGTACGTCCAGGATGTAAGAGATACTACCTATAAATCCACAGTTTTGTATCTGTACGTCCAGGATGTAAGAGATACTACCTATAAATCCACAGTTTTGTATCTGTACGTCCAGGATGTGAGAGATACTACCTATAAATCCACAGTTTTGTATCTGTACATCCAGGATGTGAGAGATACAACCTATAAATCCACAGTTTTGTACCTGTACATCCAGGATGTGAGAGATACAACCTATAAATCCACAGTTTTGTACCTGTACATCCAGGATGTAGAGATACTACCTATAAATCCACAGTTTTGTACCTGTACATCCAGGATGTGAGAAACACTACCTATAAATCAACAGTTTTGTACCTGTACATCCAGGATGTGAGAGATACTAAAGTATGTGTATATACGTAGTTTTAAGGAAACTGGGTTAATTACAATTTTTAAGCATTTTGAAACAAGTGTTTTACAGACTACATTTCTATTTACCTGGAGATACACATAACTTACTTAAGTATTTCAGGATATTAAGTAAACAAGACTAATCAAAAGTTATAATACACTGATATTAGCATGACTACTTCTTATTCATACTTTATAAGCAAAGTGTGACGAGAATAAACAAATAACCAGACCAACGAAGTTTGTTTTTTTAAAGAAATATTTTTTAAAAATTGGATTACTTCAAAGGATAAGCAACATCACAGAATCTTGACAAAACAAATAAAGAAATCTCATATAAAAATACGGTTGTTAACTTGTTGATTTCATTAATTTTACATTATAATAGTGTCTTGTGTAATGTTTCTGTAACTTGAATGGACTTAAAATAGTGTTAAAACAATGATAAAAATCGGAGACAAAATTCATAATTGTAATCTAGAAACATATAGTGGAAATACACTGTGGTTCAGACCACATGCTGGTTTCTTGTGACAAGTGTATTACAAAACTAAGAAGTGGAAAAACAAGTATACATCTCAACTACGGTAAAATTTCATAATCTCTTAGGTTGTTTTTACTAATATATCTAACTTGTGTGTCGGGAATACAAAGAACCTGCCAGCTGTGATGCTGAAAGTGCAATGTAAAATGTGTAATGGGGTACGTTTAATTTTTTTAACGGTAAGTTGATAAGAATTGACAATAAATTATCAATATAATCTGTGGATCACTTTAAGTAACTTCATCAGAGAAGCAGAATATGTAGATTTCACCAACCCTAAAACAAAAGTGTCAGTTTTACTGTCCAGCATACTTCATGTCAGAAAGAAAATATCAACCTACTTTTGAAATTCCCATTCTCTGTTATCCAAAGGACACACTTGACGAGTTTTCAGCCATCGAGATATACAGTGGAAATGGAATGCATGCTACAGAAAAAGAGTTGTAATATAAATACATTTTACACAAAACTTTAGCTGTTATTCTTCACATAAGTTTCTAAATATCATAAGTTACTCTTTCAGAACATGGTCTATGTATTGGTAAAGTAATACTAGTGAAAAACCATGCTTCAACTGATCAATTAATTACAAACACAGGTAAAAACAGTACACTCCTCACTAGAACAAGGTAGTATACTTACATTACACACTCCCCATGCAACAGTACACTCCTCACTAGAACAAGGTATTATACTTACATTACACACTCCCCATGCAACAGTACAGTCCTCACTAGAACAAAGTATTATACTTACATTATACACTCCCCATGCAACAGTACACTCCTCATTAGAACAAAGTAGTATACTTACATTACACACTCCCCATGCAACAGTACACTCCTCACTAGTTGCAGATGCTTGGTTGGCTTGACATTCTATACCTACATGGAAGATATGGAACAGGTACAAACCTATATTTATTCTGTTGGTTTTTTAAGGTTTGAAGATGGTTTTTAACAGTCTTATGTTACAAACATCTCAATTTCGACCCTCTTCCATGTAATATAATTCTTGTAATCATAACAGCACACAAAAGATTACATTTATATTACAGTAGTCAGCTGATAATCAAAGATGATTTAATTCAAAAACGTTTGGAAAAAGTAAAACAAGAGATATATCTTTTTTTTAATTAGTATTTTTCAAAATGTACTAAAATTTCTGAAGCTTAGCTGATAAATGACTTTATAGCATTTAAACAATTAATACATTAAATTTGAATAAGTTTCTAAAACTGAAAGTTGAAAATATACATAGTGAACCACTTAGATTTACATAAACTTACCAAAATTTGAGAGTTTCTAAGAACTCGGTACTTGCAATAGAAAAGAAGTTAAACACCATAACTCTAACAATGATAAGACTTATAGCTAGTGATAAAAGTGACTTACAAAGGTCCATTATGTGGTTCCTGCAAATAGCACAGTTGTCCACTACAATATCTATAATAAAACAAAACTCACATTAACCAACAAAACTGAAGCACAGCTACTAACGTCATGTTTTAATCAGCTATTATTACAATACTCAAACACGGATACTACTGTCATGTTTTAATGTGCTATTATTACAATACTCAAACACTGATACTACTGTCATGTTTTAATCAGCTATTATTACAATACTCAAACACGGATACTACTGTCATGTTTTAATGTGCTATTATTACAATACTCAAACACTGATACTACTGTCATGTTTTAATCAGCTATTATTACAATACTCAAACACAGATACTACTGTCATGTTTTAATGTGCTATTATTACAATACTCAAACACAGATACTACTTCATGTTTTAATCAGCTATTATTACAATACTCAAACACAGATACTACTGTCATGTTTTAATGAGCTATTATTAAACACTGTAAGGTTCAACATGTACTTTTAAACTTAACTAAACCACAGCACGATATCAGTAACATACACCCTGCCAGTTCATAGCACAAGATCAGTAACATGTACACAGACTGGTAAAACAATCTGACAAATATACCAATTCATACTGATATAAGGAGATTTCTACTACCTACCAATATTAAATACTAATAATAGAGTTGTAGAAAATATCACTGAAACTATAGTTTTTAATTCACATTTGCAGGAGCACAAAAAAGTTCAGAACAGATCGAGGAAACCAAAAAAAAACGTCATCTTAGTTTATGTTTCATTTGCTCAATCTCTAAAACCTCCAAAATGAGTATTAAGTGTTTAAAATTCATATTTTAACTGTTCTACCCTCATGCTAATAGTGAAATCAACAATGTAAGGTAAAAATTAAACTATGAAATACACCTAAATTATCCTTTTTTTCTTTCTAAAATGCTGTTTATTCCTACCACTAAAGCTAACAGATGTTTCAAGTCAGGTTTCATTAGTTTTACTGCTTTACAGCCGCACTTAGACTATCTCAGAATACGCACTTATACCATATCAGAATACGCGCTTAGACCATATCAGAAAAAAAACGCTTAGACCATCTCAGGAAAAAACGCGCTTAGACCATCTCAGGAAAAAACGCGCTTAGACCATCTCAGAAAAACGTGCTTAGACCATCTCAGAAAAACGCGCTTAGACCATCTCAGAAAAACGCGCTTAGACCATCTCAGAAAAACGCGCTTAGACCATCTCAGAAAACGCACTTAGACCATATCAGAATACGTCAAAAGTCATTTACCAAAAGCTTAAGCTTTATGTTAACAACAGATTGAATTAGGTTGTCTCCTGAAGAGTGAGGCTGGCCTGACTTTTATTAACATCTTTTTAAAAAGTGGTTGTCTCATGAAGAGTGAGGATGGTCTGACTTTTATTAACATCTTTTTAAAAAGTGGTTGTCTCCTGAAGAGTGAGGCTGGTCTGACTTTTATAAACATCTTTTTAAAAAATGGTTGTCTCCTGAAGAGTGAGGCTGGTCTGACTTTTATTAAACAATCAGTGTAAGTGTATAGCACTAAACTAATTTACATATAACAACTAACAATAACAGTAGACAGTGTCAGAATGATGTTATTTCTAAATGTAGTTTTTAATCAATATGTTGCATTCTACAATTTTGGCAAGACACTTACCCCATGCCCAGAGTGCAACTGCATTCCACTGAAACAAGAAAACAAATACAGATTGTAAATATTCTGCAAAACAATAATATAAATTCTTATAATTAAAAATTACAACTTTTTAAGGATCAAACTGTATGATTAATAACTTGTTCTATATAAATCTAAAGAAAACCACTATGTACACAGCTCTATTCAATGTGCGGGAGTCAAGAAAAAAGGCAGGTAGATGAAATCTAACTGTCAGGCCGGAGTAGACTATTTACTACGGTGTAGGTAAATCATGGTCTAACTGTTAGACTGGAGTGGTCTATCTACTGTCAAGAAAAAAGGCAGGTAGATGAAATCTAACTGTCAGGCCGGAGTAGACTATTTACTACGGTGTAGGTAAATCATGGTCTAACTGTTAGACTGGAGTGGTCTATCTACTGTGAGGGAGATACATCACGGTCTAACCGTTAGACTTATACAGTTTATATAATATTAACTTTTACTAAAATGAGATAGATACTTAAACTCAAAAATCAGTATACCCAATTAAATATAGGATTCTTACACTTCTAACAGTCAGTAAACCCAATTAAATATAGGATTCTTACATTTCTAACAGTCAGTAAACCCAATTAAATATAGGATTCTTACACTTCTAACAGTCAGTAAACCCAATTAAATATATGATTCTTACATTTCTAACAGTCAGTATACACAATTAAATATAGGATTCTTACATTTCTAACAATCAGTATACCCAATTAAATATAGGATACTTACATTTCTAACAATCAGTATAACTAATTAAATATGGGATTCTTACATTTCTAACATTCAGTATACCCAATTAAATATAGGATTCTTACATTTCTAACAATCAGTATACCCAATTAAATATGGGATTCTTACATTTCTAACAATCAGTATACCCAATTAAATATGGGATTCTTACACTTCTAACAGTCAGTATACCCAATTAAATATGGGATTCTTACATTTCTAACATTCAGCATACACAATTAAATATAGGATTCTTACATTTCTAACATTCAGCATACACAATTAAATATAGGATTCTTAC